GTATAGTTTAAAATAACAGTCATTAGATTTAATATTATTAATAAGTTTTTTAATTTATTTTATAAAATATAATGTATCAGAAGTAATAATACAATCTATATATAATATATCTAGTATACCTGCTATAAAAAACTAATTTTTAAAATTTTTTGTCCTTGAAATACTTCAACTGATCCTTGCTCATGTTTAATATATATTTATAGTCTATTTCAAAACATTTTGTAATTATGAAGAATTTAGATTGTTGCTAATCAGAATAATTCATGTTGATAAAAAATAATTAATATTGCTTCCCAGTATGCCTTATATAAAATGATTAGCAAAAAATCTCATATACAGTATGTATAGTACTGAAAAGCTTGTTAACGAAGTGACAGAGCATTCATTATTGTAAAATTAGAGACTTAAGTCACATGTACATTTCGACTTGTAACCTAATATGGTTTAGTTAAGGTTTCTCTAATTCTATTCAGGTTTCTTGGGGTAGATTTCTGTTCATATATGATTATCAGGGTAGTGTTATTATTGCTAATAGTTTTATTGAAAGTCATGAAAGGGAGTAAGGATGCTTTGTTCAGTATCATGATTATTTAAGAGATGACATTGTCATTAGTGAATGTATCTTTCTTTTCGCTATCACTTATCTTGTGTTAAGGCTGGCTTTGTCTCCCACTCTTTCCCTTACTAATGCTAGAGCATTAGTACAATATGCATTATAAATAGTAAGTAGCAAGTTTTTGATAAGTGAAAAAGGCTTTGTGGCTGCTTTATCAGTGCAAGGACCTCGAATAGGGCTTCGAGGTTGTCTTTGACAGTACAAAGACTCAAGATTTAGGCTCCGTGACTTTTTTGACAATGCAAAGACCTCAGAGTTAGGCTCCATGGCTGCTTCAGCAGTGCAAGGACCTCAGTACCAGACTTCATGGCTGAGTAACAGTGCAAGAACCTCAAGTATAGTCAAGTTTATCTTAGCTAAATGATACAATTGTCTTTTCTGATTCTCTTTTTAACTATAAGTCACATGCATTACATAGTGTTATCTGGCTAAGTCATGTGCCACGTGACATGACTAACCAAATAAGGATAACCCAGCTAGAAAAATCAGAATCGTCAGAAAGGACCGAAATGTAGGAAAAGTCCTTTTCGATGAAAAGAGTGAAGTAAGTAACTTAGTCAGTAATGAAGGGATCACTAATATAGTCATAATCATTATAGTCTTAGATAATAGTAATATAGACCAAGAAAATGTATATAAAATATTCTTATAAATAAAGGCTGTAAAGGCCTGAAGGAGAAGAGAGACCCGGGAAGTCCTTTGCTTTATTAGAATAATACCTGGCCCTTACATAATAATAAATACATGAACATCTCCCTTGCTACATTAACTAATCGCTAAATTCCCAGACCAAAAAAACCTGTTTCTTGAATTTATCTGTTCTAACTCATAGTATTGTTACCTCCCTCCATCCAGCTGTTGTATCTTAAAATACCAGGATTAGTCATGGTTGTATTGTTCCACTATCCTGAAAGACTGAGGATAGTGTAGTTATATATGTTGTCCAATTACCTGATGTAGTGAAGTAATTGAGAAATAGAGTTAGTAAGTTCCAGAGAAGGAAAACACAAGACAAGTAAAGAAGAAATACTTACCTATGGACCCAAACCACCAACTAAATCTAAATGCCTCTTTTCGACTAAGCCAACTGTAGGTAACATGAAGTTTTGGATTGTGGAGCAAATGACTCACCATAATGCCTGATTTCATTTGGTGGTGACTGTGAGATTCAAATGTTCATTACTCCACCCCGATAATTAGAAATAAGAAAAAGAAAGCAACAGAACGGAGCTTTAGTATAGTTATCTGCAGGCTGTGGTATTCTAAAGTGCTAGAAACAGCTGTGGTTACTTGCGTCCAACTATCCGAAGGAGTGTGATAGTTGTAGTCTAATTATTTGAAGTAAAGTGGTAATTGGGAAAATAAGTTAAAGTTAGAAATCTTGAAGAAATAGAAAAACTATGCCAACAAATAAAAAGAATAAATGAAAGACTTACTGCCGTTACTGCTTAAACTGAAGCCTGCTCCAGACCCCAACCAATATACCAGAATTTCAGACCAACTAACAGAAGAAAAGAAAAGAAATTAGAAGAAAAAGCAAGAAGAATTAAGTTAGTAAAAGAACTAGTACCTAAAACGAAGAAAGAGAAAAAGGAAATGTATAAAACTTACCCAATGTTTTGGAGATCTGAGAAAGCTGAAGTCAAGATGAGAAAACCCCATCACCAACAAGTCCCAAGCCAGGAACAAACATGAAGAAGTTTCCAAAAAGAAACTTGGCATCCCTATTGTAAAATAAGAAAACATACTGGTAGTAAATGCCTAGAAGCTAGCATATTGGAAGCAAAATATGTAGTCTTATTCAAAACACTTACCGATAAACAAGCCCGAGAGGTCCAATGAATTATCAACAAAACCTTTGGTGATTGAAGCCTTGATGAAAGACAAATCCCCCAGGCCCTAGAAATTAAGTTGGAAACACTAGAAAGTATATCTATAGATGATGAAGAGGAAATCGTCTACCTACTCTCCTATATAAAGTCTTATCGAAAAAGACCAGCTATATCCCTAACAGTAATTCCAAGTTCAAAAGTTCTCTCAACACTATCCTGGTACAAGAAGGACCCAATTAATGATATAATCGACCTCTATCTTGCCCCTGAAGTAGAGGTTCGAAACCCTAATATCGAAGTCTCCTTAGGAAGCCTAACTGATGGATGTTCAGAAGCACTAGAGTTTGAAGAATCTGAACTTGTCAACCATAGATGCTGCCATTAAACTGGAATTGGAGTTGAAAAGAATAAATGTAAAGCCTCTGAATACTGTTAAAAATCTACAAAAATGAGGAATGTCGATGGAATGTGTTCTGTTGAATATTGTTATGAAAATGGGATTAGGGTTCAAAAGGAAGAACGAATTGGTGTTAAGAAAGATGAACAAAATGTATATAAATTAGATTAAGAGAAGAAAAAATTTAATCTACCTGTAAGACTTAAAGAAGCCAAAAATGACGATAGTAACAATGCCAATGATAATGAAAATGATGATGGAATCGGAATTGAAAAGGATGAACCTAAAGCCTTTAAATACTATCAACAATCTGCAAAAACAGAAAATACTGATAGAACATTTTATGTTGGATCTTGTTATAAAAAAGGAATTGAAGTTGAAAAAGAAAAACATAAGGCACATTCTTATTATCAAAAACCTAATGAAAAGAAAGCATTTAGAAGGGTTTCTAGGATCATAAGAGAGACAATCAAACCTGATGATGAAGCAGACGATGATGGTAATGGCGACAATGATGACGATGAAGATGGTGATGGTGATGATGATGATGTTACGATATTTGATGGAGACAGCAATGGAACAGGAATTGGAGTTGAAAAAGCTGAACATTTCGTGTTAGAAAACTTGGATGACGCCTGTGATGATTGGCATAGAAGGGTTGAAAAATTCAAAACATTAATGAAAGAAACAGGAAAATCAGAAAAGTTTAATGAAACCCACCCAAAACCACGTGACCAATGACAAAACGATGCAAAAAGGAAAGCTGTTGCAAAGATGTCGAAATTGACCCCAGAAGGAACAATTCCAATATTGGATAGTGGACCTAAAACAAAAGAAAGAATAGTGGAATTAGAGGTAGATTGAATAATTATAAACAAAAAAAGCCAAGGAAAATCCCGGTACTTATCTCTGCTTCTATCGCCTCAATGGCGTTCGATCCTGGAGGAAGGTGCTCCTATTGTTAGAACGAAGAAAACAAGTAAAGAATTGCCTAAATACCTACTTAAGGTTGGGAATTCCCCGGATTCGTCCAGCATGTATATGCGTGGTACGCATACACTAAGTGGGGGAGAAATGTTATCCGGCTAAGTCACGTGCCACGTGACACGGCTAACCAAATAAGGGTGACCCGGCTAGAAAAATCAGAATCGTCAGAAAGGACCGAAATGTAGGAAAAGTCCTTTCCGACGAAAAGAGCGAAGTAGGTAACTTAGTCGGTAATGGAGGGATCACTAATATAGTCGTAATCATTATAGTCTTAGATAACGGTAATATAGACCAAGAAAATGTATATAAAATATTCTTATAAATAAAGGCCGTAAAGGCCCGAAGGAGGAGAGAGACCCCGGGAAGTCCTTTGCTTTATTAGAATAATACCTGGCCCTTACATAATAATAAATACATGAACGTCTCCCTTGCTACATTAACTAATCTCTAAATCCCCAGACCAAAAAAACCCGATTCTTGAATTTATCTGTTCTAACTCGTAGTATTGTTACCCCCCCCATCCGGCTGTTGTATCCTAAAGTACCAGGATCAGTCGTGGTTGTATCGTTCCATTATCCCGAAGGACTGAGGATAGTGTGGTTATACGTGTTGTCCAATTACCCGACGTAGTGAGGTAATTGAGGAATAGGTTAGTAAGTTCCAGAGAAGGAAAACGCAAGACAAGTAAAGAAGAAATACTTACCTACGGACCCAAACCACCGGCCAAATCTAAACGCCTCTTTTCGACTAAGCCAACTGTAGGTAACACGAAGTTTTGGATTGTGGAGCGACTGACTCGCCGTAACGCCCGATTTCAATAGTTAAATGGTTCATAGTGCATTATTTAAGGGAAACCTGTACTTTAGTTATGTTAGTCTTATGCGTTTGTTATGATATAGAACCTCGCGTGCATTATATGGTTCATAGTGCATTTGTCACGATATAGAGCCTCAAGGTAGTGAACCTATCCGCATATGTTTTTTCATCTTCGCATCAATAAAGTATAAGTCTCTGATCGAGCAATAATAATATACGTGGCACATGATTAAGTAAATATAATGTGATGCTAATCATTACATAGTTTGAAATGTTGCAAATAGTTTAATTTATAATAAGGATCATAAAAAGTGCTCTGGAACTAGGTTTTGTATTATGTAAACCTACCTTCGGGTTTTAATCAAAGTTGTTATTCATGTCGAGACGATTCTAACGGTGGTAAAATGATCTAAAACACTAAAGTAATTCACCCGCAATGACTCTTTAAAGTTTCATAACGTTTGTTTATCTTTGTTTATAATCTGCAGATCATGTAAACAAACATTACGAAACTTTAAAGAGCCATTGTGAGTGAACACTGGGGCATTTTAGATGATTTTACCACCATTAGAATCGTTTCGACTTGAAGAATAACTTTTATTAAAACATTCCTTTCAAATTTTAATAAGACTTTTGACTTTAGATATGAATTTCGAATTTTGATATGACTTTCGAATTTCGATGACTTTTGAATTTCGATACCTGAGTTTCGAGTTCCGATACAAGTTTCGAGTTCCGATACAAGTTTCGAGTTTCGAGAAGTTTCGAAAATAAAATTTTGTCGAAACTAGTTTCGAGACAGTTTCAATATCGATGCTCTCGAAAGTTTTGAGTTTCGAGAGGCATCATTAAGCCAATCACAGATTTGCATTTATTTTAGATTTCTGATTCCGAAATTTTCTCACTAACAAATTTCGATAAATAAAATCTCGACGAAAACTAACTAATGCGGGCTAATCGGAATTTTGAAACCTATCTAGCATCACTAGTTCACTAGAAGTCTAGAGTCACCACCTTTAAAAAATTTCGCCAATTATGTGACTTATTAAAAAAAATTACGCAGAAGGCTTTATGGGCAAATTTTAAGCTACAAGCTTTTTTGGGGGATTTGATTTTTTCGCTTCTTTTGCGTTATACAGTTCTTGAAATCTGATTGGTCAGCGAAATTAACTAGAGTGGTTATTTAACTACTATTTTGCATCATCTGAAATTCAGTTTCTGTCAGCAGCACTCTGAGAGATTGATAATGAAGTCCACAGGCTGGTCAAATACCTTCGACATATTGAAATATTGGATATCAAAAGAATGTTTGAATACATATTTATCATGGAAATTTTTCGCTATATCAAAATATTAGATACGTAAAAATTCGGGTTGACTGTATGTATGTTGTAAGTGAAAACGAAATTAACCCTAACCCCAGGAAATTCCAAATTTCGTTCCCACTTACGACAAGTATAAAACAGAAAAAGAATCTCGATATGTTTTATTTTCGTTTAATTTTTTATTATATACATTATTTTTTATAACTACAATGCCACAAAGTAAACGAATATAGTTTATCGGTTAATGCCTAAATTAAATAATTGCATTGTCTTATTGTCTCTAAATTTCCTTGTATACTTTCATTTATATAATTATCTACACGTTCTCAAAGTTTTTTTTTGCGTTATTCTACGGATTTCTTAAGACGTCAAAGATTAATTTCATTATAAGAATTAATGAGAACTCATAATTATACTCAACTTTTTAGATATTAAAGCAAGTCTATTGCCATTAGAAAGTGTTTGCATTATATCCACTTCATGATTTCGCATCTTAAATCCTTCTAAATTCTCCGCCATCCTTTTGACTGGATCAAAAATTTTCTCAAAATACAGTCGTTTCTTTTTTTGATGAAGATCTGATGACTAAATTTTGCCACCTAAAAAGTTAATTATGAAATATATATATACGTATTAGCGATTCAAAATAAATCCCACAATTATTAAGAACTGAACAGGATGCAGTCTGTTGAGGAATGCAGGCCCACCAACTAGGTCGCCAGAATTCGGACTGGATGAAAAGAATACACGCCGGTACATGTATACCAGGGGCAGGTCAAGCCCTTCCGGGTTATCTGAATTGAAAGTTTGAGGATATTATACAAGAGGGTACTAAAGTATTGGGATATGCCGTGAAATCAGTACTGGGGGCAGAAGTAGGTAGCAGTAGCGGTCTAAGAGGTAATAACCCTGACCGTAAGGTATAAATAACTGAAGCATAAGCTATCAAAGCTAGGTCATCTGTAAAAGTGGATACAGATGCTTTAGTCGTCTCGAGGGTAAAGTAGCCTTAAGCTAACAGGAGGATAATCAGTGGCCAGTCATGACCTTTAAACAAAGGTATTCTGACTAACTTATTATTAATAAAGAAATATATACAGATTTGTTTCCTCTGTGATTGAGCATCCTATGCAAATTTCATAGCATCGCTGTTGTTTTTTTTTAACTAATCCAAAAGCTACTTTGAATTCTTAAAATAACTGAATAGGTCATTTGCAATCATTTCCCAAGTCCAAGGAATCGCCATAAAAAATAAAAAGTCCCACAATTATTTTTTAACTTTTCACCAATACAATATTATCTATATTAATAAGAGTTTTATAAATCCTGTTTGATTACGGTCCCGCTTGTTTCATCGACATTCATTTCGTAGACACAACACTTTGCTGACAATCAATTCACCGACAATTAATTCACTGACAAAGTAACTATTCCAGAATTATGTAAGTAGAGACGCTTACATATAATAAATAAATCTCATTATAATGCATTAAACATTTTATTAGATAGGAATATAACTAGAGATGGGCAAATCGCGGTTTTTCAAAAAATCCCGCGCGGGATTCATTAAATCTAGGTGCAACGTGGTTGAACCTCAATTTTGATTGGCCAACGGCTGTGATCGACAAAATTTTGGCTGCATTATACATAATTTTGGCCGGAGTTTAATTTTTTAATTGTTTAAGGTTTTGGTCTGTGTAATGGTAAAATTAACCCAGGAACATATTTCACTTAGGGTTGAAAATTACATTTTACAAATTTACAATA